GAGGAGGAGGAGGAGGAGGAGGAGGAGGAGGAGGAGGAGGAGGGGGCCCGTGTAGCCTCTGGGCTGATGGAGGTGGTGGTGTAAGGCCACTCAAGTTCAAATGAGATCATTTAGAAAACTCTCATCTAGGCAGAATGTTGACTGTAGGTTAAGTTCAGGTTGGCCCAGGGACGGCAGCACTGATTTACATGACTGGCCTGGGATCAGAGATTTAAATTTTAGAATGTGTGTATTTAAAAAAAAAAATTTTTATGTATTTGGTACAGGGTTTCAATACACAGCTCAGACTCATAGTGATCCTCGTTTTCAGCCTCCCCAGCACTGGGATTACAGGTGTGCGTGACCACAGCCCTGACATGGTCACCGGCTCATCACAGCACCAACACGACATGTGGTGCAGGCCATTGAATCCTGGTCCCTGCATTTGCCTAAGCAGGTGCTTAGTGGGCTAAGCTATCTTGCTGACCCTAGAACGTGCACACTTGGGTCCAGCCTGCTGGGCGCAGCCCACAGACGTGTTTTAGGGGAACATGTGTGTGCAAACACTATACACATGGTCGTGTGTGGCTGCTACTCACAGCAGCAAAACATTACCTCCAGTGCCCGTGAAAATGAGTTCAAATGCCAGGTGTGGTGTGCAGGCCGATAGTCCTAGCACCTGGGAGTCTGAGGCAGAAGGGTTGTTGTGAGTTGGAGACAAGCCTGGGCTACACAGTGAGCACAAGGCCAGCTGAACTGCATAGTGAGAGTATGTCTCAAAAGACCCCCCAAATGAGTTCAAATTTTGAGTAGCTATGTCAGGTGGCAGTTAAAAAGATGGCGATGGGTATGAATGGGTATGAATGGAAAGGTCACCAAGGGATGCTGCGGAGGCGAAGCAAGTTTCGAAGCCCGAGTGTACGTGAAAAACTGCCTGTGCCTGTGTAAAGCAGTCTGTAGTGAGGACACCTGTTTGCTACGAGTCCCCTTACCTGTGCCTGCGTAGTGTTCCACATGCCTCACAGGCAGGGATTCACCTGATCCTCAGAACTCCTGTGCTGTTCCTGTGATTGGGCCCACAACACAGCTGGGGAAGCAAGCAAGGCGCAGAGCCTGACTGGCCCATGGTTGCGCAGGAGTGGAGCAGGGGTTAGAACCCGGGCAGCCTGGGCTCATAACCAATCTTTCTGTATGTCTTTTTCTTTCTTTCTTTTTTTTTTTTTTAAAGCGGAACCGGGGATTGAACTCAGGCACTTGCACTTGCCAGGGAAGCGCTTATTCCACTGAGCCATCTCCCCAGCCCTGTCTTTCTTTTTTTGGAGGGGGGCCTTGCTCTGCCTACCCCAGGGGTGGGACTGGCACTCCATGTAGTGCTGGGGATTGAACCATGGTTCCTGTGCTTGCCTAAGCTTGCCTGAGCAGGTGCCTTAGACCACTGAGCTATCTTGCTGGCCCAACCATTCCCTTTCTTGCTCCCACACTTGTGCACACACACACGTCCCTGTGTTCTCTTGTCTCTGTCTACTGGTATTTTCAGAGCCAGCTGAAACATCAGCACCCCTGGCTACGCCCTTGGCCTGCACCCCAGGCCTGCACCCCAGTTACTTTTCTCACCTGGGCAAGGCTGGAGGTGGTGCACCTCATCCCTCTCCCGTGGGTGGGCGGAAGCAGAAGGCCCAGTCTCCAGGACATGACAAGGCTCGAGCCTTGCTACAGAAGGGAGCTGCAGATGAGAAGGAAGGTGAATGGGGGGAGGTGGCTGCAGAATGGGCTGTTATGCGTGGAATGCAGCCTGGTCGCCCCAGGAGCTCATGCCCGCCCCAGGACCCTGGGGAGCAGGGCGGGCCTGGGCCTGACTCACCTGAAGTTCACCATGCCCTTGGTCTCCTCCAGCATCTTGACCAACTCCCCAACTTGGTTCCGGTTCATAGGGACCTTGTTTTGCTGAGGGCAAGGGTGAGAATGTTGAAGAGCTCTCTGCTCACCCCATTTCTAATGACCCCGAAACACGGCTCTCCTCTCAAGACCGTGCAACTGAGGGCTCAGAGCAGGCCGATCCCACTGTGCAGAAGGGCTGCAGGGAGCCTCTGTTCGTGGTTCCTTGCTGGACTCCCCTTCCCGGGGAGCAAGGAGGCTGGAGGACACCAGGGTCCAGGGCAGTAGGGACCCCGGGGTGAACATGAGCTCTCCTGTGCCATTCCTGCTCCCATCTCTGAGTCCTGCCCAGGCCCTTCCCCTTAATGAGTGTCTTATCCATCCCTGCCTGGGTGACCCAGAACCCAGAATGTCTCCTCCTGGGACACTCTAGTGATGGACCTTCTCATGTGCATTTCAGGGGGCCTTCAGCACTTTCGTTGTGTGGGGACAGTGAGGGGAATGTGGGATTTCAGGTCAAAGGCAGACCTCCTGGCCTTGGGTTGGATGGGAGGGGTAGCTCCCCTCACTCTGGTTCTCAGCTTCCCAGTAGCCAGATGCCATGGGCAGGGAGGACTCCAGGGTGAGGGACATGTGGTGTTTTGGGTGATCAGGGGTGGCACACAGCACAGGGAAGGACAGGAGGACAAGGGCAGGGGCTAAGGGAGGGCTTGGGTTTCTCAGGACCAAGATAAAAGAGGTGACTACAGCCAGGCCCAGGAAGCTCAGTGAAGTGTATGTTGTTCCCCTCTTCCCCTTTCCTTTCCCCTCCTCCCCTTTCCCTCTCTATTTTCTCTCTCTCCTCTTATTAGTATATAATTCCTATACATAATGATTGTATTCATCATAGGGAGTTGGTATATATGCAGTGTATATATCTAACACATTAATTGACACGAACATACATGTGCATGCGCACACACACACACACACACACACACACACACATGCACATGCACTCTCGGAGCCCACTGCCGCCAGGACCCGGCACACCTGTATCATAGCTTTCCGGAACTTGCCCACAGGCATCTCCAGTGCTCCAGTGGGGCTCAAGCTCCTGAAGAAATCCACCACTTGGATTTTGTGCTGGTCCACATAGCTCTGTGAGAGGAAGAACACACCTTACCCCGCTGTTAGTTCTCCCAGCGCTTCCTTCCCTGAGAGCCCCTCGATCGCCACGGAGCCAGAGAGGCTGAGCAAAGGGTAGGAGGCATCTCAGGAGCTGAAGTCTCTCGGTGTTAGCCTCAGGCTGTCAGGACTCCTGTTCGTGCCCCCCACCCCCAGCTCCCAGGACAGCGGCTCTATGCATTCTTCCACCCATCAGATTAACAAGTTCAGGGCCGGGGAGATGGCTCAGTGGAATAAGTGCTTCCCTGACAAACACAAGGGTCTGAGTTCAATCCCTGGTTCCGCAAAAAAAAAAAAAAAAAGATTAACAAGTTCAAGTCCATGCTGTTCTGATGCATTCAGGGTTGCCATGGAGACCCTATCTGCATACTTCACTTGGTTTGGAATGGCTTCTGTTAAGACTAGGATAGACAGCCTTGTGAAGTAGCTCAGAGGCCAAAGGACCAAACCATGGCTCTACGGGTATGGCTGCACAGATGGAGTGCCTGGGATCCCCACAAATGCACATATGGAAAACAATTTGTTAGAACACTTAAAAGTAAAATAAGATGGGAGTTGTGGTGTGTATTTGTAATCCCAGCACTCTGGAGGACTGAGACAGGAGCATTGCAGGTTGAAGGCCAGCCCAGGCAAGGTGGCAACTTAGTGGGATCCTGTCTCGAACTAAAACATAAAAGAACTAGGGATGTACCTCAGAACAAAGGCCTCGGGTTCAATCCCCAGTACTACAAAAAATAGATTTTCTTTTTAAGATTAAAAAAAAATTATTTATATGTTTGTTTATTTATTTGGTACAAGGTCTCCCTGCATAGCTCAGACTGGTAGTGATCCTCCTTTCTCAGCCTCCATGGCCCTAGGATTGCAGGCATGGGCCACCACACCCAGTTTCGGTGGCCGGCATGGAGTGCCCAGTGTTCAGGGTTGGCATAGCGTGCAGTACTGGGGACCAAACCCAGACCCTTGTGCTTCCAGGCAGGGGCTTAGACCGCTGAGCTACCTCCCTGGCCCTCCTTTTAAAACATTACATTGGAAGGCAATTTTAGATTAGCAAAATGAAGAAAATAACCCATAAATTAAATCCTACTATCTTGATGTATTTCTCTCTCTCTCTCTCTCTCTCTCTCTCTCTCTCTCTCTCTCTCTCTCTCTCTCCCCATCATCTTTCTGCTGCATCTACTGCTGCATACAACGTACTACACTAACGCATTGTGAGCACTTTTGTTTTCGTTTTGTTGTTATTGAGACAGACCCTACCATGTGGTTCAGGCTGGCCTTAAGCTTGCTGTGTAGCCCAGGCTGGCCTTGGACCCACCGCGAACGCTTTTTCTATGTCAGGAATATTTTTCTGGGTCCCTGTTTTGTTTCTTTTCCCTCCTGTGCTCAAAGCCCCCAGCCAGTGTCCTGCCCTGTCACAGGTGGGCATTCCTCAGCATGCTATGCTTCAGGGAGTCCTCTGGGCTCATCATGGGCCCCTGCTGGTCTTCCCCACACACCGTCTTCTGGAGACACTGCTTCTCACCCTAGCCGGGTGACCCCAAGTCTATCTTCAGCAGCTCCTGGACCTCCCGGCACCTCATCCAACTCTTCCCAAGAGGCTTCCTCCTGCCTTGCTCTGCACGCTGTTACTGCGCAGCGGCAGGGCTCGTGGTGACCCTCAGCCCACTCCAGCCCTCCCAGCAAGCTACCCAGAAGGCACAGGCTAGAGGCCCTCTCACGCAGGGTCTCAGCTCACCGCCTCCACCAACACCTGGGTGATGTGTGCGGGACAGGGGTTCGGCTGGGGAGAGGCAGCAGGGCAGCGTCCCGGCTTCAGCAGGAGTGGGATGGGGAGCGCGTGCCCAGTGGAGCAGCTTCCCACCCGAGCAGGAGCTGTAGCCATCTTTTTGGTTTTTTCCTAAAAAACTTTGTACTTTATTAAGAAAATGTCCACTGCATCCATGCCAGTGGACTAACGGTGGTAGTCTTATTAGCGGTGTAGGTTTCTCTTTTACGTGCCTATATACTTTTCGTTTTAGAGCCTTGGGTTTGGGAGACAGAATATGACTGGAATAAAAGCATGGAGGGTATAAAAGAAACAGGAACAAATCTGCCACACTACAGGAGTGGGCTGCGTGCTTCCTCCCTTCCCTTTTCTCCCTTCCTGTTAATCTTTTACTTGACAACATCAAATAAAATGTTTTGCAAATTGCATTTCTCGGGCTGGCGAAGTAGCTCAATGGAATAAGCACCTGGTTAGGCAAGTGCAGGCACGGGAGTTGGATCCCTTGTACAACATGCTGTGCCACCCCTGCCCCAAGGTGCGCTGAGCCAGCCACCCTGTTCCAAATACATCAAATTGCATTTATGTGAACATATCTTTCTCCTTCTCCTTCTCCTTCTCCTTCTCCTTCTCCTTCTCCTTCTCCTTCTCCTTCTCCTTCTCCTTCTCCTTCTCCTTCTCCTTCTTTTTGGTGGAACCGGGGATTGAACTCAGACCTTTGTGCTTGCTAGGGAAGCACTTATTCTACTGAGCCATCTCCCCGGCCCATGTCTATTTCTTCTATAGCTTCTTTTTTTAAATAATATATATATATTTTTTTTGGAACCGGGGATTGAACTCAGGCCTTTGCACTTGCCAGGCAAGTGCTTATTCTACTGAGCCATCTCCCCAGTCCTTCTTCTATAGCTTCTTGAAAGGAATGCAATTTCTATCTTTGGTTCTATAATAATAATACTAATAATACTACTAATAATAAATTATATATGCTAACATAATACCAGACATTTCTAGTCTTGCCATATAACTGAATCTCAGTATCTACGGTCCCAGAAATCACAGTTTTGATTTTCTCAATGGAGCCTTTGAGAAAATCATCAGCTGTATGTTAATTTCACTGATTCTTGTTTTCAGGGTTCTAGGGTGTTTCTCCTACAGATGCCTTCCAGGTTCTTATTGTCCAGAACAAAGAACTGGTTGGGACACGTAAAAAAGGTATCGAGGCTGTTATGGCTTGTGTGTAGGTGTCCCCAGTCCTCATGCGGTCACAGATGGGGCTTCTCAGAGGTGGTTGGATCTAGAGTGTGTGATGCTGGGACCACAG